CAGAGCCACAGGTCAACTTGTCCCTGGAAGGGCTGATTCAGTGCTTCTCAAACTGGAGTATGCATCTCAAGTCCCTGGAGGACTTTTTAAAAGCTAAAATCAGTGGGCCACACCTCCTGAACTTCTGATTCAGTAGGTCTTGGATGGCAACTGAAAATTTGCACTTCTAACACAAATTATAGTGTGAAGTAGATGCTGTTGATCCAAGAACACATTCTGAAAGAGAGAGAGAGAGAGAGACCTTTGGAAAAAAAGAAGTTCTGAGAATTCTTGACCTCACTATCTCATTGTGAATTTCCCAGAGGCAGAAACTAGTCATTTATCTTTTTAGTCATGTGGTTGGAAGACAGTTACGTCTTCAATGTTTCTAGAATTAAATGGAATTCCATCCCTTCTACCTAAAGCCTTTTCCGGGTGATGGAAAAAGCTTTAGGTAGAAGGGATGGAGTCAGAGCAGTCAGTTCAAGGAAGCAATGACAATCATGAAGTCAAAAAGTTCTAAGTGTGGTCCTGCTAATGTGATTAGAGATTTGGGGTCTCAAATCTTTACCATTTTATGAGCATAACCATTTTTAAACTTTTGGTTCATGAAATCATAGGCTGATAAAATTTAAGAGCTGGAAGGGTCCAAATAGACTAACTTATTCACTTTACTGAGGCTCAAAGAGGTACCTCTGCAAGTCCTCATGGCTTATTATAGTCAGATCTGGGACTTAGATAAGTGCCTTTTCCAGCACCTCATGGCAGGCGCCCCTGAACAATTCTCAATATAGTTAACATTATGATATGAGAATTCCATATGTTTGGGAACACTCTGAAATATTTTCTGTGAAGAGTCTTGCAGATTCTGCACAAGGAACTGTAGAAAGATGTTTGCCCCCAAATGGACTGTTCTAATCTCTGTATGTTCCTCTCATGCTAACCATTGGTTCTGATGAAGGACATCTCTATCTCCTTGGCCTGGGAGAACACATGATGATCTTCCTTTTGGGCCTTCATGACACGATTTCCAACAGCAGTTGGAAGATGGTTTATAGGCACATAATAAAATGTCATTCAGTCAGCTTGACTCTTTAAGTCCAGGCACTGGGCAAAGGATGTCTCTTACCTTCCAAAGAAGGGGTAATGGACCCAGCACAACTCGCCTGAGCCTCAGTAAATGAGTTGGACTTTATTTGGACCCTTCCAGCTCTAAGACAATTAAAAAAAAATTTTAGTTGTATATGGACACAATAGCTTTATCTTATTCATTTGTTTTTATGTTGTGCCTCACATGTGCTGTGCTAGGCAAGTGCTCTGCCACTGAGCTACAACCCCAGCCCTCTAAGACAATTTTGAGCAACATTTCTATCCCAGCAGGAGGACACTGTGCAACCTCAGAACTGTATCTTCCTCTTGGGACTGCAGCCTTGTCACCAATCAGCCTCCCCTGCTCTGGCTAAATGGCTGTGTGATAGCATAGTAAAAATACTTGGTGTCATCCGCCCAGGGAGTCAGAGCATGCTTGGAGTAGAAAGGGATGAGACTCTCTATGATGAGAGTAAAATAATTTCATTTGGAAAAGACTCCAAAATCCTAAGTGAAATAGCTGCAGAGTCCCAAGATCTCAGTACCGGTCCAGTTTCTGCCACTTCTATGCAAATAGTCTCTTGAGCATTTCCTTAACTTCTTTGACCTTTAGTCTCTTTCTCTGTAAAATGGAGAGAATAACAACTCCTAAGACTGAGAGAGACTCAACAAGAATACACTACTAGGTCATATTTATTGAGTATTTCATAGGTGTCAGAACTTGTTTGAAAGGCTTTATGTGTGTTGGCTTATTTATTGTTCATACCCACCTTTGCAGTGGGACTCAGTGAAAGTAGAGCGTAAGACAACTTGCCTAAGATCTCCTGCCTAGGAAACAGAGGAGCTTGGATCTAAATCATCTTATCTGGCTCTGCTAGTGTGAAGGGCTAAGGGGCGACATTCTTACCTACCAAGCCACACTGGATTGAAAGATTTTATTCTTTTCTCTTTCTCATTTTTTAATGCCGGGTATTGAAGGATTTTAGTACCAGGTATTGAGGAAGGATAGCCTGCATATGCAGCTACCACACATTGGCTCTTCACTCACATCATTTCCTGAGTTCTCACAAATACCCCATGGGTTTTAGTGACATCTCTATATTTTTTTTTCTTCTGAATTATGAAAGATGTTCAAACTCTCAGGGCCTCCATTTTTTTCATCTATCTGATGGACATGGTATGACCAGCTCTTTTCTCAACAGATTGTTCTGAAAATGAAACGAGGCCATTGTGACTGTCAGTGATCTGGAGGAAAAAAGATGTTAAAACATCCTACAAATGTCAGATTTTATATTGATTTTATTTCTGGATCCTCAAAGGCAAGGGGCCTCTGTTTTGAGAAACTCACCTTAGATTCTTCCAGTCCCTGGTGGATTTGTGGATGTGGCAGAGGTTGATTTCCTGCCAAGCTACTGGTGTTTGGGGGCACCTCCTCTTTTAAAGTGGTTAGGATTGTGAGGTTGCAGTGACTGAGGTGTGTGTGTAGACACTCAGGGACGAGTCACAGCCTGGCAAGCTGGCCTGGACAGGATGACTTCATGGGCCTTTCCCACTTCTCATTTTTATGACTGGCTCCACTGTTTCATTTTTGGCTTTCTCTCTGTTCCTTGCAGCTGTGGTGAATGAGATTTAGGGCAAGCATTTGAGATCCTTTTTCTAATTCCCTTTAAATCCCCATTTAGCTGCAAAGTCCGAGAAGGGGATAGAGAAAGTGGTGGCGAGGACTAGCCCCAGGTGAAGGTGATGTTGCTTTGTTTTCTGTTTCTATAAAAAAATGCCTATGGATGAATAACTTTATAAACGAAGGAGCTATATTTTGGCTCATTGTTCTGTGCCAAGGTCAAGGAGCTGCATCTAGTAATGACCTTCTTGTTGGCAGACTCCTGAGGCGATACAGGGCATCACATAGCAAAAAACAGGGAGCATATGTGTGGTTGTGTATCTTCTGGTCTCTCTCCCTCTTCTTATCAAGTCACCATAATTTTTTATTTTTTTAAGGAAATTTTATTTATTTATTTATGTTTTATACATTTATTTTTTTATTTTTATGTGGTGCTGAGGATCAAACCCAGGGCCTCACATGTGCTAGGCAAGCACTCTACTGGTGAGCCACAATCCCAGCCCCTATTTTTTTTTTTAATATTTATTTTTTAGCTTTAGGTGGACACAATATCTTTATTTTACATTTATGTGGTGCTGAGGATCAAACCCAGTGCCTTGTGCATGCTAGGCAAGCGCTCTACCACTGAGCTACAACCCAAGCCCCAAGTCACCATTATTAGGGGCTTTACCCTAAGGACTATCACCCCACAATGCTCCATTTCCAAATTCAGAGTTGGATTAAGTTGCCACCTTTGTAATGCCTTGCAATTGAGATTAAACTTCAACACATAAATCTTTGGTGGAGACACTTAAACCAGGGTAAGCCGTAGCTCATGACATCTGAGAAAACCCAACAGGAACGCCCAGCTCCACTCACTGAGGCAGGAGGCCTCATTCTATCCAATGCCATTCTTGTCCCAGAAACATGGAAGCATTGAATTTCATCTACAGACTCAAACCTTTCTTAGGAGCTCAAGGCATAGAATGGTAGTCATGGTAAGGGAGAAACTTCATATTTTCCTCTTTTCAATTTAATTGTGCCCTTTTTGGCATGTTGCTGGATTGGGTCCCTTCTCTGTTTCCACTACTGCCTTCCAGATTGAGGTCTGAGTCCCTTTTTCAACCAGATCTGTGCAACGATAGTGTGGATAATTCACCTTACAAACCACTGCCACACTCAAGTGACTCTGTTTGTTTGAGGCTGGGGATGCAACCCAGGGCCTCACATGGTAAGCACATGCTCTCCACTGAGCTGCATCCCCCAGCCCCTGACTCAGTTGACTTTTGTCATGTGAGCTCCCTACAGGAGATACACACTAAGTACATGATGCCGAGGTGACCCATCACCCGTGGCCTCACCTACAGATTTCTGAATTCAAAGGTCTTTATGACTGTTTCAGCACAATGACGCATGCCTGTAATCCCTGTAGCTCAGGAGGCTGAGGCAGGGGGAGTGCAAGTTCAAAGCCAGCTTCAGCAACTTTGCAAGGCCCTAAACAACTCAGTGTTACCCTGTCTCAAAATAAAATATAAAAAAGGGATAGGGATGTAACTCACTAGTTAAGGGCTGCTGGGTTCAATCCCTGGTATCCCCCTGCCCCCCCCAAAAGACTTTATAACTGGCCTCAGTTCCTGCCTGCAACTCCTAGTATTCCCTACCACCCAGGCTCATCACTTACTCTGTTATCCACCACGTTCATTCCAACTTGGGCTTCCCTTCATATGTCCCTTTACATGTGTTCCTTCTCTCCAGTCCAAGCACTGCTCCCACAACACAGCTCACATCTCATCTCCCAGCTCACTAATATCCCTTTTCTCTTAATATCTTCTGTCAGGACCATGGTTTCATACTACTTACTCTTTCATTGTTCCATTAGTTAAGTCTTCCTAGGTAGACTGTTAGCTATTTGACAATGGACCCTGTCTTAAGCTTCTTTTCTATTCTGAAGTGTTCTGCTAACTTCTATGCCATGCAGAAAAAATAAAATGTGATCCTGATCAGATGTCTTCCTTCCCACCTAAAAACTACATTGGCAACTTTCTAGAAACTAATATATTTACTTATTTTGTAATATGTATATATATATATATATATATATATATATATATATATATATATAGCCAAGGGTTACCATCATACAGTCATGTATGTATATATATATGTGTGTGTGTGTGTGTATGTGTGTGTGTATCTTCCCAAGTAGGGAGGAGACTGATGAATTCTGGAGGTTTGAAAGTTGATCATCAATTCCAGGATTTTCAGCAATAGCCAATCTTTACTACATCCTTAACTCCCCTTCTAAAGTGTTTGACTGCTCCTCTTTCCCCAGAGAGCTCCTGTGACAATAAGCGAGCAGACCTGGTTTTCATCATTGACAGCTCCCGCAGTGTCAACACCCATGACTATGCAAAGGTCAAGGAGTTCATCGTGGATATCTTGCAGTTCTTGGACATTGGTCCAGATGTCACCCGGGTGGGTCTGCTCCAATATGGCAGCACGGTCAAGAACGAGTTCTCCCTCAAGACCTTCAAGAGGAAATCTGAGGTGGAACGAGCGGTCAAGAGGATGAGGCATCTGTCCACAGGCACCATGACAGGGCTGGCCATCCAGTATGCCCTGAACATTGCATTCTCAGAAGCAGAGGGGGCACGGCCCCTGAGAGAGAATGTGCCTCGAGTCATAATGATTGTGACAGATGGGAGGCCCCAGGACTCTGTGGCTGAGGTGGCTGCAAAGGCGCGGGACACAGGCATCTTGATCTTTGCCATTGGTGTGGGCCAAGTGGACTTCAACACATTGAAGGCTATTGGGAGTGAGCCCCATGAAGACCATGTCTTCCTGGTGGCCAACTTCAGCCAAATCGAGTCGCTGACCTCGGTGTTCCAGAACAAGTTGTGCGGTAAGTCCAACCTTTCTTCGACTCTTCGAGGGGAACTGTTAGGACTCATTCACTCATCTTCAAGCGTTCATCCTGTGCTACAGCAAAGATCAGGAGAGACACAGTGTTCTTTTGGGGCTTACACTTTGGCTAAGGGAGACAGATGGGAAGCATATAATTAATTACACAAATAATTAAGTGCAGTTGTGACAGTGGAATGGAGGAAGAATTCAGGGGATGGTGGAGCAGGGCCTAACCTAGGCCAGGGGTTAAAACAAAGTTTTTCTCCAGCACTTGGGCTGTCCTGGTGCTCTGTAAATTAGAATCCATACATTGGAGCGGGGGTGGGAATGGAAGGCAGAAACCATAATCTGGTTCTCTTGGATGGTATAGAGTACCAAGGTATTTTTGTCCCACAATGGAACTAGCAGTGGATGTTTTCTTAATTGACAAAAAGACTTAGTGCCTGGGAGTGTGGGCAGGATGTAGCCCTGGCACCTTCCCACCTGTAAGGGTGGCAGGTGGTTCTCCTCACCCACTACTCCTTCTGCAGGAAGATACCTCCCCAGGTCCTGGATCTGCATTCTTCTATGTTAAGACATTTTTCTTCCCCCTCTTGCTTTCTAATCTTTTTTTCCACATGGCTTCTCTCCTCCTTCCCACATTCCTCCCAGTGACCTCCGACCCCAGCCCTGGCTCCACTTTTCTCAGCAGGTCAACTTGCTCTCGCCCCAGTTTCCTGCCTCTACAGCTGCCTTCTCGACTCTTCCTCCTCTGGGAGTCCCATTTTCATCCAGGCTCTACTCCTGTCCCTGACAACTGGAAATAAGTGTCTCACCTGGCAAACAGTGTTCCGTCCTGCCTTGTCTACTCCAGCTGCCCCGTCCCTTCCAGCCACCATGCTTCTTTGATGAAGAAATGACTAGCATTTCTGACATATGAGTGGAGAATGAGCTTAAGCCAGGCACCGTGGCGCATGCCTGTAATTCCAGTGGCTCCGGAGGCTAAGGCAAGAGGATCTCAAGTTCAAAGCCAGCCTCAGCAAAAGTGAGGTGTTAAGTAACTCAGTGAGACCCTGTCTGTAAATAAAATACAAAAAAATAGGGATGGGGATGGGGATCAGTAGTTGAGTGCCCCTGAGTTCAGTCCATGGTATAAAAAAAAAAGTGAGAATGAGCTTAAGAAGCCGACTCCTCACTAACTCCCTCGGAGGGGGACCTGCTCCTGTAAGGGCTCTGAGGACCAGTTCTCAAAATGTGACAAACATAGCTTGGTGCGCTGGCATATGCCTGTAATCCAGTGGCTGGGGAGGCTGAGTCAGGAGGATCATTAGTTCAAAGCCAGCCTCAGCAATTTAGCAAGGCCCTAAGCAACTCAGAGAGACCCTGTCTCTAAGTAAAATATAATAAAGGGCTGGGGATGTGGCTCAGTGGTTAATGGTCCTTGGGTTCAATCTCCGATATCAAAAAAAAAAAAAAAAAAAAAAAAAAAGAATGTGACAAACCCTAGACCTGCATGATATAGGCCTCAGGGAGAAAGAAAAGGATGAACATTTGATTTTTTTTTTTTTTAAATCCTCTTGCTAAGAATAAATCTCAAAAACCTGAGACCCCCTTTTTTCTTGACTCCAGAATCAAAAGATTTACTTAAAAAAAAAATCAATGCCATGGAGGAAAAAAATAACCTTTTTCTTTGCAATGTCACTTGGAAAATGTTCAGAAGTGCCATTTCCCTGGCGCCACAGAGAGGCCGAGTTATTGTGGTGTGTCGTGGCCTAAGTCAACTGGAAAACTTCAATCAGTAGAACACACTGCAAACATTTTTAAGGTTTATGACTTTAAATGACTTCTGCAGAATTTATGCTCCCCCTTTCCTGGAAATATTTTTAAAAGAAATTGGTTCTGTAACACTTTTGACAGTTTATCTGTATGTATTGGAAAATTTTAATGGAAGACTTCTTTCGTAAGCACTCTGGATTAATCAGCAAATGGAAAGATAATCTGATAAGGTGGAAGAGCTACAACGCAGCTGACCCCCATGAACTTGTTGAAAGTGAACTTGTCCATGGAAGATCCTTCTCTGTGTGCTGTAAGGTTCAGCAGCAAAATTACAAGGCAGTTTGGATTTTCCTCCTCTGTCATTTTTTTTGCAATCTGGAAGCTCTAAGAAAACATTGGTATTGTCCTGTTCATTTGTGTGGCTGGAGAACAATGAATCCCCCACTCCCATCCATCTTGCAGGAGATAAAGCTGTACTCTTTTTTTTCCCTTAATTATTTTAAATTTTTTTTAGTTATAGATGGACACAATACCTTTATTTTATTTGTTTATTTTTATATGGTGCCAGGGATCAAACCCAGTGCCTCACACATGCTAGGCAAGTGCTGTACCACTGAGCCACAACCCCCACCCATAGCTGCACTCTTTAGGTCCCACCAGGCTCAGCCCAACAGCCTCAGCCACTGTTTTGAAGGTATTGAAGAGGCCCGGGCTGGGGATGTGGCTCAAGCGGTAGTGCGCTCACCTGGTGTGCGTGCGGCCTGGGTTTGATCCTCAGCACCACATACAAACAAAGATGTTGTGTCCCTCAAAAACTAAAAAATAAATATTAAAATTCTCTCTCTCTCTCTCTCTCTCAAAAAAAAAAATAATAGTTGAAGGTATTGAAGAGGCCCTAGAGTCTCTTTATCAAGCTTGCAGTACCTAACATGTATGAAGTACTATCCCTTAGGTTTTTGCTTTTGAGCCTCCTGGAAACTCTGGAGGCAGGTGGCCCCTTGACCCCGCTGTCTTCATACAGTTTGGTGAGCTTGTCAGACAAATCAGCCAATAGCAAACAGCCAGGAGATGGTAGTAAGGCTCTGATTGCAAATTCTTGCTCATTTCACTCTTTTACTTATTGGGACCATTTTCCAACTGCACCCCCATGCCCTACCTTGCCTGGTAAACCTGCTTTGTGATTGGCATTCACCCACAGGCAAAAGGCTGGAAGTGAGGAGACTCCAGCTCTAGAATGCTGAGAAGATTCTTCATGGTCCCCCTTTGAGCTTCCATTGCTCCATCTTTAGAATGGGGATTTTACACACACAGTAGATGTGTGAACAGATGTTTGAGCACACGTCTTGTGTATTATTATAGTCAATACATTGAGCATCCATAGGCTACACAGTTTTGATCTGCCCTCCAATTATCAGACAATATCAAAGAACATCTTTCAATTATAGATGGCATCTCTGAGGTTTTGAAAGTCTCTCTATCTATTGCTATTAACATGTGTATGTGCTTTTTTGAGCTATTAGCATCTTATTAATCTTATTAATCTTTTGATTAACATGACTAGCCTGTGAAATAGGTGCTTTTAAAATTTCCATTTTATAGAAAAGGGAATTTAGACCCAGAGAGGTTAAATAACTTGCCCAGGGTCACGTAGCTCTAAGTGAAAGAGTTGAAACGGGTGCCCAGGCACTCTGGTCAGGAGCTACATCCTAACCGTTATGTGCTACACAGACTCTGGTTGGCCAGAGTTGATGGGGAGGGTGAATGAAATAATCCAGGCAAAGAATGATGATATTTTCAATTTCATTTCTATTTTATTTTATTTTAAAACCAAGGGGCACTTAACCCCTGAGCCACATCCCCACCTCTTTTTATTTTTTTGAGAAAGGGTCTTGCCAAGTTGCTTAGGGCCTTGCTAAGTTGCAGAGGCTGGCTTTGAACCTGCAATCTTCCTGCCTCAGCCTCCTGAACCACTGGGATTACAGGCATGCACCATGTCTGGCTCAATTTTATTTTAAAAAGAAATGTAAATGCTAGTCTCAATTCTCTCAGATTTTACTACCCAATAAGGAGTCATGACCCACAGTTTGAAAAGTGTTCATAAAGTGCCAGGCAGGGGAGTAGAGGCCACTGTGCACCTAGGAAGGACAGGATTTTAGTGGGGAAAAGGCTAATGACACCTGTAATATAGGCAGAGCAGAAAGTGGTGCTGGATCTGCAGACAGAGACAGGCAGTGTCTAGACGGGATCAGGGCAGGAGCCTTTATCCTGCAGCTAGGAATTGATTAGGCTCTACAGCCACAGTCTCTTGGGCAAGAGCCATGGTTTCAGCTCATGGTGGCTATGTGGCCATGGACCTGGGCACAGCAGCAGCTTTGTACAGGTGAAGCAGTGACCTCCCACACTAGCCAAAGAAAATCCTGAGGTCCCATTCTCAGGCAATGCCCGAGACTGCCAGATAGGCTTGGAGGCCAACTGCCCTATGAATTGAGGTCCTGTTTACAAGATGACCAAAAGCCACACATCCACCATTTTTGCCTCCAGTGAGAGAGAACATGCATTTTTCAGGGCTGAAAAATGTGTGTCTCTCCTTTGCATATCTGTCCTTTGGCTCACTCTAACCTGGGCAGGGCTACTTGTAATTAATCTCTCAGTGCCAGCTTTATCAGTGTGGCCTGGCATTTTAGAGTTGAAGGAGGCCATTCCTACCCTAATAGCCCTGTCCCAGCCAGAGCAGGCATAATTTAAGGTCATAATAGTGTTCTGAAGACACACCCTTCACAGACTGGCCTGGGCAAAGTCTACTTATTGTACCCCCTTGAGGCCCCATTCCGAAGTGGGGAGACCAGACTGACAGATGTCTGTTTCATATACCCAGTAATTGTTCCTTTCAAGACCCCACGTCAACCCCACCACAATGAACACTCTTGGTCATGGATACAGTTGTTAAAAAACACTTCTCTTCATGTTTCATAACCAAAAGCCAATCCCTGCCAATGACTTAGATGACTGATTAGTTAGTTATTTTCCCCTCCAAACATGAAACCTTGACCAAATGTAAACCTGGAAGATCTTCTGAGAAAAGGGGCTAATGGGACCCTGTCTGGCAGGTCAGGAGCCAGGGTATCTTCTTCCCTTTAGTCATCTTGCAAAGGCCTGTCCCACAGGAGAGCAAGGCCTGAAGCCCAGATGCTCCTCAGCTCCCTCAAGCCCTCATCCATAGGATTCTAAAGATGGAAGAACCTATTCTGTCTAATAAAATTGGAATTATTTTTTGTCGTTGTTGAAAGTGTCAGAAATTTGACTTGCATCAACTTTGAAAAGGAGGGGACTGAATCGTATTATTCATGGAAATAAGGACAAGAGTAATGAGTGACCTGCTTTCATCTGCTCCCCTTCTTCTCTGGTCCATGGGGCAGGAAGCATCACCCCGTGGGCCCTCCCTTTACCTGCTGTTAGTTGAGTCCCCTTTACTAAGTTCTAGTTTCTAAACGCCAATTAAGGACTGATTGTCAAACACTGTATCAACCTGTAGCAGCCAGGAGTGGAGCCAACTCAGGCCACCATGGCAGCTCCTATGGTTACCAGGCAGGAAGGGTTGTTTCTAGAGAGGGGGCTGCTATACAGACTAAATACTAGGGGTCTGTACTGAGGGTCCCTAGAGCCCATTCATGCCTTTGTTCTACAGGTGAAGAAACAGGCTTTCTACACACCTCCTTCTCTTCCTTCACTTGTTCTACAAGGTAAAAGAGACTAGAACGAAGGTCTTCTGGCTCCTAATCCAATGCTCTCCAATTGTGCCCAGTTACAAACTCCTGGTTCCAGTTTCTTTTATGTGACATGACCAAAATAAGCCTAGTTATAAGCTGCCCCTCCTAACCCTATGCAATAGTTTTTATAATGTTCCTATTTGACAGGGGAAGAAAGTGGAGTTAAAGAAATTAAGTAATTCATACAGGTCATAATAGGTGGCAAATCTGAGCTTTTGGGTGGTCTATTTCCAAAAGCCACCCTCTTCCCCACAGGGCTGCTGGCTGCCCACCTGGGATTTTCCCTGCCTCACACCTCCTCTTAATTTGTCTGTCAAGGTCCCAGTAAGGAGGCAGGCACCAGGCCCATTGCTGGGGCCTCCCCAGAGGGGACTGCCTGGAATCAGTTGCCTAACTCTAGACTTCCTTCATTATGAAGGAATGGTGGTGACATGCTATGTGATCCTCAGGAGTGTCCTTATGCCCACAACTGACTTGATGGCAGCAGTCCAGGGAGAGAGGAGAGCCTTGCAGGATGCAAAACATCCCAGGTACATATGTGGGTCCTGTGACCCTTGGTCATTTGACGTTTTTGTCAACTGACCAATAAATTACCTCATTCTGTGTTTCTGTTTAAACACAACTTATTTACCATATGAATACTGATTCATTAACATTTATACCTTTATGAACAAAGGTATAACTTGTGCCAGAATGAAGCTTATTTTAACATGCATATCTTCCCCAAAAGGCACATCGCAACCTTTTTTGCACTTGGGAACACTAGACAGCTCTTCACCCTTTCAAACAGCAAAATCACCTATGAAAAGCTCAACAATGACAAAAACATGGCACTAAATAGACTGTGAAAATGACTTGTTTGCAGTATGAAATATGACAGCTTCAACGAGAAAACAGAGCGTTGCCTTGTTCGACCTCCGCTGGGAACATCTGCGTCGATGACAAATTTTTCACCTCTCTGAGCGTGTCCACAAATGACTGTGCAAGTGCTGTGAATTTTGATTTGGGGTTACAAATAAATTTTAGCAAGTAGGCAAATTTTCAAATATGGAATCCACAAATAATGAGGATTGATTCTATGTGTCCTCACATTTGAACATCTCTGAAATTGGGGTACATTTTAGATTCCAAGATATACAATACATGTATCAGTATAGATAAAACCTTGACTCATGGGGAGTGAAAATCCAAAGTCAAAGTCAAAGATCAGTACTTATAGGATGAAACGAAACATGTCAATTAAAAATCATTATATTTTCTTTGGCATTTATAAATTGGTACAGAGTACACACCCCCCCCCCCACCCATATTGGACACTCTTCTAACCACTTTACCATCTTGGGTAACATAACCTTCACAAAGTCCATATGAGCCATTGCTATTTGTGTCCCACTTTATATAAAAAAGTTAAGAAATTGCTCAGCATCACAAAAAAGATGGTTATTTCACCCTGTAGTAAAAATGACAGCTGAGATTTAATCTATGAACTTTCCTAATGTTTTTTGTACCTAACAGGAGCTAAAACACAAGCATAAACTCAGAACAATACATTCTATATTGTACTGTCATGAAATAAAACAGTATTTTACTCCCCTATTCCATTTATTGCCTACCATATTTCTTACTTAGATATAAAGAGCCATGGTTTTAGGATGGAAATCATCAATAGCTGAGTTTTTCTAAGTGCTAGATGAATGGAATTGTTCTTAGCTTTTGAGTGCCCCTTTTATTTTAACTTCATAGAATTATTTTCTACATATAAACATCTTTTGTGTCTGTAAGAACACTTACGTAACTTGCACACTGATAGTTGTTAATTTTAAATATGCTTGAGTTGCATTATGTTGAGTATAGTCATAAATTAAGATGTAAAAAAAATGAGAATTTTATAAGCTCCATGTAGACTTATGCAAGAATCTATGCATCTAAGAGCTGAGGTACTTCAGAAAATAAATGCAGAAATATTTTAAATTGAGATATAAAAATCACGCTAACATGAAACCTATGAATTCATTCTTACTCCAAAATTTTGTATACTTTTGCATATTTAAAAACATGCATTATTTAGGGGACTGGGGTGTGGCTCAGCGATAGAGTGCTCACCTAGCATGTGCAAGGCCCTGGGTTCCATCCTCAGAACCACATAAAAATTAATAAATAAAATAAAGGTATTGTGTCCAAATACAACTAAGAAATAAATATTAAAACAACAACAACTTGTGATCCTGGGAAACTTTGGGCTCTTTAACACATCCTCATTTAACTAATAGCTTTTTCTCCAACTCCAATTCTACCTATGGAAATCCACATAAGCTAAGGCATCTTCTGGTAGTCAGTAAACTTTCTGATCATCCTGCCTGCTGAATGGTATTATTAAGTTAAACTGGAAATCTCTGGTTTTGTAGGTCAAAAACAATTGGATGTCAGCAATTTCATATGGTTCATCCTAACACTATTTTCCAACAATCCTACATGGTCCTTTATAAGTTGCTGATGCCACCTATCTGTACCTGTATTGTGTACCATACATTGTAAAGCCCCTTGAGAGTAGGGCCTGCAGCTCACTTCTATTTGGTCCTGCTCTCTCCTTCACAGAGTAGGCTCAGAATAAATGTTGGGTGGGATGACGTTAGGGAAAGCGTCACTGTTCACTTAATGGCCTGTGTCTTCCCTTTCAGTGGTCCACATGTGCAGCATCCTGGAACACAACTGTGCCCACTTCTGCATCAACACTCCTGGCTCATATGTCTGCAGGTGCAAACAAGGGTACATTCTCAACTCGGATCAGAAGACTTGCAGAAGTAAGATTGCTTTGTGGATGTATCTGTATTGTTCTCTCTTCTTTCATGTGGGCTTTATTTATTTATTTTATTCATCTGTAGTCCCTTTCCCAACCCACTTACCTTGAGGACAGACAAGGTTCCATATTTTGTGCTGACTCTGCCCCCACTCTGCCCATCATGATGCTTCTGCCAGACCCTGGCACATAGTAGGCCACCAGGCAGAATGTGAAAGATTAGTGGAGACACTGTCTCAGAAAAGTTACTTGGTATGTGTGAGCTTCACCTCTCAACTTCTTCTTTAGGGACAGCTACTGAAGAACCTTTTTATCTGCTGTCTTTATTAAGTGTACCCTGAGGAATTGTTTCCATATTTTACTCTCCTCTCTAAAGCATGGACTTAAGATGAGTTATTTACCTCAACTGGGAATGATTACCTAAGTTCTGTTTTAGAGGTATGCAGGGATCTGATTGCTTTGGTGAGGGATGCTTTATTGGTCTCCTAAATTTAAAAAAGGGCATGTTCTGAGCCAGCACCAGGTAACCATCCCTTACAGGACAGAATTACGCATACATCTGTGCTGATCTTTCTCCACGCTTGAGCGTAGCTGCTGTCCTAACCCACAGACAAGCAGGCTATGAAAGCAAAGCCTGAGGAAGACCAGCACGCAGGAGGGAAGCAGAACTCAGCCAAGCGGACATGTACTTCTTGCGATGCATAATTATTCCTATACCACATGGTTAGCAATTAAGCATTAATGGAAAGCAGTTTGCACAAATGGCTGTAATTAGTATCACTTTTATAGAGCCAAACCACATTTTCCATTTTTCTTCTCACTTTTCAGTTAAAGAGTTGAGTGCATGGCTGGAGGCTCCCCAAGATTAGGGAACATCTGCTTGACTCCCTCCAGTTCTGTGGCTCTGGAGCCCTCTGAACTATGAGGGTCAGGGAGCTCTGTGCTCTTAGGCTCCTCTCAGACCCCAGGCCCCCAGATGTTAAGTAGCTGGAATCATCCTCATCTTCTGCTCCAAGATCTGATGCTTCATCAGGATCCACAGCACAAATCACTCACAGAAAATACTCACAGGGTTTAAGGGAGTTTACAGAAGAACTGGGAGAGCCTGGGAAAGGTCAGCTCACATCCTCTCACACCTCACTTAGCAACCATCCTAAGCATCTCCTAGTCTCCCCCTGTCCTCTTCAGGTGTGCTGAGCCTCCCTCCATCTTGCCCACTCCCTTTCTGCCCTGCCCTTCTGAGGGTCACAAGGATTCTTCTCCTTGTCGGATGTCCCAGTGTTCAGCAGGGATCTGGGAAGCTGCCAATGTCCATTTCCCATGGGCTGGCTTAGCCAAGCCAGAGGATTTCTGACACCAACTAATGAAAAACCAAAAGGTCTTCCCTCTGATTTCGTGAGCAGGGTTGCCAGCCCTGCCTGGGCCCTCCATGGCCCCTGATGTCCCTGGACTACTCCCTGCCTGGGGCTGCACTGGGGCTTCCAACAGATACCAAGGTGGATAGCAGGGAGGAGATGTGATAGGGGCCCAGAGCAGTGGCTCTCATACTTCCACAGCTAAGAACGAGTCAGGAAGTGACTCCTGGGTTCACAGTCAGAGATTGAGTTAACTGGTATGGATTTGCCAAGATCTTCTGACCCATTGCTGCCATACTCTGAGGTTCATTAGCCTTGGGCAGTGAGTGGACTTTTAGAAGGGCCTCACCTCCGGAGAAGAGAAGGAGCTGGAACAGGGCTCAGCTGCCCATCTGACTAGCCTGCCAATGACCCTGAAGGAGTTAAGCTATCACTACCTTCAGCACCAGACTTAGCTTAACATATGTATGATTCCCTCTCTGTCAGAAAAAGATCATACTCATGAGTGTTTTGTTTTGTTTTGTTTTTTTTTGCATTTCTGAGATTGGAATACCAAAGGCCTTGTAGGAAGAACAAGGCCTTTATGGTCTACAGGTCTCGTTTCAATCCTGAAAATTTTTTACCCCTTGTGGCTGTCTTACCCTGAGCTGGTTATTTAAATCCCTTTACTTTGAATTTTCTTATTCATAAAATGGGAATGATGGCAACAAATTAATACTGACTTTATTGATCAGTCTTTGTTAACCCCTGAATTTGGTCTCGTGAATAGTTAAAGCTGTGGCAAGGGGCAGCTATGCCATCCACCGACCTCTCTTTGCCAACTGCTCTCAGGAACGTGTCCCTGCAAAACTCTCATGGGCCTGAAGAGGAACAAGACACTGCTATTTCCATTTTTCTCTTTTGTCCTGTATGTAGCAGGGCAATCTCCTACATGGAAAGAAATGTGGGTTACACTCCCTTGTCCAAAAACCTCTTATTCCCTAAGAAGTTCTTGTCATTCATTCTTTCAAATCCTCATTGATTGGTTCATTTATTTATTTATTTTCCTCAATATAACATGCATTGAGAATAGAAGGCATACCAGGCAGCCTGTAAAAAGGTGGAAATAAAACAGTGAATAAAACAGCAATGCTGCTTTGATTTTGGAGCTCCCATTCTTGCATGGGTGAATCCAATAAACAGCTGAGGTATCTGTGATCAACAGGGACTGTAGCCCATATAGAGCTCAGTGTGTAGGATGCAAAGTCAGGCCTAACCATGTGCCAGGCTCTCCTGAATGCTTTCTCTCTGTCTTCTCATTTAATTCTCACAATGAGCTCTTTTTTATTTTTAAATGCTAACCTTTTCTGTTGTTGTTGTTGTCAATGGAACTTTATTTATTTTTATGCAGTGCTGAGAATCGAACCCAGTGCCTCACACATGGTAGGCAAGTGCTCTACCACTGAACCGCAACCCCAGCTCTCACAATGAGCTCTTAAAGTTAATTTTATCATTCTCATTTTACAGGTAAGGAAAATAAGGAACGAACATGTTAGACAGTTTACTCGAGGTCACATGGCTACCAATGTGACCAAACCAGAATCCAAATCGTGCTATGTCCTAGCTCTGAGCCACCGTTTGATACTCTCCCATGATACTTGAGGGCCCCCAGATGGCAACAGGGCAACCCTGCAACCCAGAGAAGCCTCTCCAAGCCCAGGACAGATAGATTCCATGGCCCACTGATCCTGAAGAGACTCAGAACTCATTCACCAGGACTAACATTCAACTGATAGTTCCCCAAGTTCATTGCCAAATGCTGTGCTACTGTCATTGCACAAAATGATGGTGGGAGGGCCACTTAGGCAACTGTCTTCAAAAGCACAGTGACCCTGGATGTGGTTTCAGGACTGGCTATTGGGCCATCCAGGCTGTTGATGCTGTGGTTGGTGAGGAGTCTGCTCTGCTGAGATACCCCAGAGGGCTGCCCCACTTTGGGACCCTGCTGGATGGAGCTCCAGGCAGGGCCACGGACAGTTACTTGTCTCTTTAGGTAGCTGTGGCACAGGGTCACTGTCTCTCTGCACGGCTGCCCTCTGGGCTCCCCAGGACTGCTGTGGATGCAGCCTGAGTGCTGTGAGGTTTGGGACTGTTTGATGAGCTTTCTCCTTGGCTATATCTCTAATAAAATATTTCATAAGGAAGAGGGAAGACAAAGCATATTTATTTGCATGTACACACACACACACACACACATTTATTTATTTATTCTTTGCCTGGTGGAGAAAGGAGACAGACACAGCTGATTCATAGATTCTTCGGGTGGTAACAAGTGATGGATGCTGATTCTCAGAGTTCTGGCTCCCTCCCTCTTCCATATAACCCCAGAATTCTATCTCCTCCCAGGATCCCAGATGGGTGATGGCTCTTAAGAACTGGGTCATTGCAAAGCTACATCCAAACAGCTTGGATTAGTGGCTGAACTGAAATCCTACTCTCCACCTTTGATCCTATTTCTGCCATCTGAAGCCATCTGCCAGAAAGCTATTTCCTTACCCAAATAAAGAAAGTCCTTCAATTATTGAAGTGTTATTAGCATTCATTCTACCCACTCTCACTAACTTTCTCTTTTTCAGGGGTAGCATAAATCCATCATTAGGTGACTTTGCAATTAGGTCTCTTTGCAATTCAGGTAGCCCATTCTGAATGAAAAATCAGCTGTCTGCAAAGTGTCTTTCCATTCAAAGACTAGATAAAGTGCATTTAAGAATCTAACCTTCTGGGATCTGCTCTTAGGGTGATTTAGAACATTTTGAAGTTCAATGTTATAGATCCTTTTTGCCTTTCAGATACCATTATATGAGATCATGTTTTGCATATCAAAAGCATTAGCATAGTGCTAGAACAATAAAGGTTCACGTCCTTCCTTTTCCCCATTTAAAAAAAAATATGGGAGAAGGAACCTCACAGAGTGGGCCCTCTCCATGTGAATATTTCCCTTATCTTTTCCCTCCCCTGGAATTCCTTTTTCACTAACAAGAAAGAACCTTATCTTGTTTCTTTTATATATTTATATATATGGAATTTCCCCTCCCTTCTGGAACATTTAATTTGTCTAATGAAAATGCAACATTTAGCAAAAGGTACAATTTTTCTTGTACAGATTTCTGTCTCTCTGCTTCTGTCTCAAGAACCATACCAAATACATTGTACTCTTATTCTGTGGAAATGTTTCTCACATTATTTTCCCAAGCTATATAAGTGATTTGATAGCTTTTATATTAAAGTTTAAACAAGGAGCATGAGCTAGACAGATAATCACGATTAGAGAGAGAAATGAAAACTGTAACCCACATCCTTAATGAATTTGGATGCAATGATTTAACAAAATTGTAGCAACTAAAATCCAACAATACTGTATCTAAAAAGAATAATATATCAAGACCACATTCAGTCTATCCCATCAATGCAAATTTGGCTTAGCATTCAGAAGTCAATGTAATTCACCATATTAACAGATTTTAAAAAAGGAAAAATAATCTCGGTAGATATAGGAAAGGTAATGGATAACATTTAACATTCATTCATAATAAAAACTCTCAATAAAGTAGAAATGAAAGGGAAGTACCTCAACTTGATAAACAGCCTCTAAAAGAAAAATCTGCAGTTA